AGAAAAGTATTTTCTAAAAACATATTTTTTTAGAAGGATCAAATCTTCCCAAGCCACAGGCCTCAAGTCAAGTCCCAAGTCAATGACCTTCAAGTCCAAGTCGAGTCCCAAGTCTTAGTCCATTTTACCAAGTCAAGTCTCAAGTCCTAAAAATAGTGACTCAAGTCTGACTCAAGTCCAAGTCACGACTTGTAAGTCCCCGCCTCTGCTATCCTTAAAGGTCTTTATTTTATATAGCGCTTTTCACAGACATATGTCACAAAGACACTTTACAGAGCATTATTCGTTCACTCCATACCGGTGGTGGTAAACTAGTATTGTAGCCACAGCTGCCCTAGGGCAGACTGACGGAAGCGTGGCTGCCATGCCAATCAGTGCCATCGGCCCCTCCGACCACCACCATCACTCACACACAAACCAATTTCACCCCCTTGTGGCACCCGGTGTTCCCAGTGGTCTCCCATCCAAGTACTAACCAGGCCCATCCTTGCTGAGCTTCTGAAATCTGACAGGATCAGGCTTTGAGAAGCTGGTATGTCCATCAGTTAAATATACGCCAATATAGCCTAGGCAACGTTTTGTATTGCAAGTCTTTATTTTGTACGCACATTTTATACCATCCATCTTGTAATAAAAGGGTTTTCGATGTTTTTTCTCTGAGTATGCATGCCTCATAAAGCATAATTCTCATGTGGGACTCATATAATATAAGGAACACTCATATGCTTTCTATGAAATGAACCTGACAGTGTCCCTGAAGATAAACGATGCTGAGGTTTTATCGTGATGTTAATTTGTCTTGGTTAGAATACAGACATTACGCTGTCTCCCGTTGTCCCTCAGTACGCCAAGGGAAATTTCCCATGCACTCTTTAAATATCCCAGAAGGCCCTGTGCTCTGCTGTGCTGTGCTTTGCATGCCTGCCGCTGGTCACAATACAATCCCACAGCCACAGTGACATCTAGTTATATAGCTTTCCCCAATCATAAGTGGCTGCAGAAAGAAAATAAAAGACTTTTTCAGTTTGCTTTTTGTCTTAACTCGAAGTGACATTTTGAGCAATAGATTTCCATGCGGTTTGGTCAAAAACAGGAAAACCAAAACGGCGTATTTTTAAACTTTTATCCTTCGCCATAATGTTCTTGCGGTTTTGTCAATTAAGAAACAAACATTTGACAATTCACAACAAGCGACGTGGGATTCTCATTATTGTTTTTACCTGTTTTGCTCGATTAGCAGCTTGAGTGTCTGCCTATTGGTTAGCATCACGTCGGCGTCGATGCTGAAGTAGTAGTCACAAGTGGAGTCCTGCCTGCACAGATCCCTAAAAGACACAAAGACACAGAGACACAGAGGAGAGAAAGTAATCGTCACTCAATTCAACGTGATTACAGTCAATGGAGCGCTTTAAATAATGACTGTTTCAAATTCATCAGCTCCTAAATATAAGATGTCAGGGCAAATTGCAGACTGGCGGGCTATCTTTAAGTCTGGAGTGGATCAAGTGATTTGGCAAAGATTAGAGGCTGCTATTAAACCGTTATTATAGGCCGGTCCTGACTTTTACTCGCTGTGCGCTCTTGATCAGATCTGCGTAATGACGGCCCACAGGTTGAATTATTGCGTGACAACAGACAGTGAGCTACGCTATTTATGGTGAATGGAAGGGTGACTGGATACAGAGCACTTGGGAGAATGCGTTATGTCAAGTCTACAGGTACTGGATTATGCAACTGCGGATAGAATTCTTAAAAAATTCTCAGTTAGTGCAATAATAAACCAACACAGATACAGATTTGAAGAGGTTAAAGTACTAAAGATAAAAATCTCAGTTCCTGTACTGGCAATATACTTAGCATGTAGTACAGTTAATTTAGTTTTTTTTTTTTTTTTTTTTTTTGTATGTAGTAAGTAAAGTGAAATTAAGTAAAGATACTGTCAAATTTAAAACAGGACATAGTACTTTATATTTGTAGACTTAGTGTGAACTATTTCCATTTGGAATTGAAAAGTTTGTGACATGACTCCAAAATTAAAGGCAGATAATGTCTACAGAAAGGAACTATTACATTGTATTATATTAGAAATCCATCTTAATGTGTGTTAGTATTAATACTGGATATTGGATATTAATCTAGAGACGGGACATTTCCACTCAGTCCCAGACGAGGAGCGCACATGAGCTCTGTGCCACTTAAAGGACATTGAAAATGAAATGCATTTTTTGTACTTTCTGTCCTTTGTATCCTGCGCTGTCAGTGGTGTCTCATGTATCTTACTGTTGGTTTGCTGTGTTTGTTGAGAAGAGATTGGAGTATTTCTTTAAATGTAATGTTTTCAAGCTGGCTCAGTTTGTGTTGAAAGCCTGGGATCTCCGTAAGAGGACACTTAATGTTTGAAGTGCGATCTGTCTGCTTATTGTTTTATGTCTTTTATAAGCCCATGCGAGCTGGACACCAACTAAATGGTGCATGACACTAAGTAAGTAAACTAAACTAAAATTTTTCACATTTTACTGTTTGACAGTTATTCCAACATACATGAAACTGACACTTCATGAGTTTCAATTTTCACCCAGCACCATTTTAAGTACTTTAAACACATATAATATTTAGTTCTGAACTCTTTCTATAATGACTTAAAAACCATATACATACATGCCCATATTCCTGGCTTCTCCCTGGCTCAGATTCTCCTCCGGTCCCACCACTTTGAAACTGCTAAAGGCATTCCTGTTGGCCTCCCAGAAACTTTGGATATGCTTCTCATGGTAAACCTCCTGGAAAACGAACCAATATTTAGGGATTAGAAAAGAGCTGCTATGTGGACAGAGCAGCAGCTGTCGCCATGGATACACTTACATTATTATGAATAAAAAGTCTGAGTTTGTCTCTGGGATAATCCATGGTGAGCAGTCGGTGGAAGAATTCTGGGAGGAAAGGGGTGGGCTGCTCGATGAAGATACCGATGAGAACGTTGGGTAGATCCTGTTTAGATTAAAGAAACAAATTGGGAGACTGTCATGTCAAACATTGGCTCAGGATATATGCATGTGTTTAGTATAAGTCATGGCTGCTTTTGACATGTGAAGTTATGTATTCATACACACAGTGAGAAGACACAGATGGTGCTCCTCTGAAAGCAAAAGACCCACAGATATTAACTTCCAGCTGTCAGTGCTCCAATCCAACAGGTTCACTTCAGTTTGAGGTTTTCAATTTGTGTTTAGATTTGTCCTGTTTTTTTCCTTGTTTATTTCTGGTTTGGTCCTGCTGGTTTAGTCCTGGTTTAGTCCTGGTTTAGCTCTGGTTTGGTTCTGGTTTGGTCCTAGTTTATTCCTGGTTTAGTCCTGGTTTAGCTCTGGTTTGGTTCTGGTTTGGTCCTAGTTTATTCATGGTTTAGTCCTGGTTTGACCCTGGCTTAGTCCTGGTTTAATTCTGGTTTGGTTTTGGTTTGGTCCTAGTTTAGTCCTGTTGGTTTGGCTCTAACTTTGCTCTGGTTTGATCCTGGTTTAGTAGTGGCTTGGTTCTTGTTTAGTCCTGGTCTGGTCCTGTTTGGTCCTGGTTTAATCCAGGTTTAGTCTATGTTTAGCCCTGGCTTGGTTCTGGTTTAGTCCTTATTTGGCCCCAAACTGATCCTGATTTAGTCCTGGTTTTGTCCTGGCTTTGCTCTGTTTGGTCCTGGTTTTGTACTGACTTGGTTCTGGTTTGGTCCTGGTTTAGCCTTGGTTTAGTCTTGGTTTAGTTCTGGTTTACTTTTGGTTTAGTCTTGGTTTAATCCTGGTCTGGTCCTAGTCTGGTTCTGGTTCAGTCCTTATTTAGTCCTGGTTTGGTCCTGATTTACTCAGTTTAGTTCCAGGTTTAGTCCCAGTTCACAGTTTTTATGTGGTGTGTGTGGAAAATGTGAATGTGAATTAAATTCCTGATATCAACCAGGGCAGAGACTGAAAATGCATATTTCTTAAGCCCAAATTATACTAATATATTACAAAAGCAACCCAGTTCTGATTAATACCTTACAAAACTGCATTGTATAAATATTACAAATTACGTATTTAGGGCCACTCAGGATCTGTAAATAATTGTATTACACTGACAGACTGGCCTCACTCTACCACCAGAGATCCTTAAGCATGAAATCTCACAGCACAGAGAAGACAATGCCACTACTAATGTGTTTTTGTTTAGTTTTTCAGTAGTATATATACAAACTATCAACTGTGCTAAATGTGTGTAGTGTTAGAAGCTGCCAAATATAGATTAGGTGTACATTACAGGGAAATACTATCCTTCTTGTTTTACTTTATGAATGCTCAATGTTTTTACAGCTGCAGTGAGACAATGAATCACATTATTTCAACAATTCCTGTGAAATATATAGTTCACTACATATACTCCAGATGTGGACACACTGTACTTATTGTTATTGTAAATCATTTTAACTCCTGTGAGCTTAAATTTCATAAAACTGTAAGGTAAATAGGATTAAACTCTAAATTAAAATCATAATTAACTTGCAACATTACAACTATGGTATTTGGTGGACCTTATCAGTTATATTATCATTTGAATCATCAAAGAAGGTCACTTAAATGGAGAAATAGTGAATGTGATGGATATTTGGGTGGACAGCCTGAAGGAGTTTTTCTCATGACTGTGCTGCAGCCCACACAGCTCCGTCTGGACGTGTGATGACCAGTTCACAGTGAAGGTTTGGGCCCATATAAAAAGCGTCCAGCACAACACTCTAATTTGCAAGTTCCACAATGACAGCTTTTGGCTTCAGGAGCACCAGCGTGCTGCACTATGCCAGTCTGCTGCAGGCATACAGATGGACCAGGGAGGAATCTGTCCCAGTGTGAAAAAAGAAATAGGATTTCGAGTTTTCTTAAGGACTTGCAGGTAGAGATGAAGGCTCTGGTATAAGTTACTGTGCAGTAGTGACCTGAGCTAACCCACTCCTCACTGCCCTCCACACTCAGAGGAGTCTTTGTGCCACACAGTTTGAATTGAACAAACTCCAGTTGTGGAGGTTTAATAAATTCTGCTGTAATTACTGTAGGTTTGAATATAGTCTGATGATGAGGTTAACATTTAGAGCACGTTTAAATGGGAACAGATTATAAAATGATCATGTATTTATTTCTGGATAAAGTGCCTCATGCATGGCTTGATGGTTGGAGCCACATAAACAGAGACATTTCCTACAACCTCCTGTAGTCTGTACTGTGTGTACTGTGTGTACTGTGTGTACTGTGTGTACTGTGTGTACAGTGTGTACTGTGTGTACTGTGTGTACTGTGTGTACTGTGTGTACTGTATGCTGCCAGCCTTGGCCCTACTCTGTGACAAATTCTCAGCCTGACCACTCGGGGTGACTGTTGTGGACAGAAGCCATGTGAGGAGGCCACTAAAAGCAGGCTGCTCCACAGTGACACCCCTTTAAATGAAGCCTTGTGAAAAGCCCATAGCCATACTGCGCACCGCAGCAGCGCCGCACTTCCTCTTCTCTCTGCCTCTGGCCTTTCCCTGGCACCACTGTGTTTGAGAGGGTCCAACAGGACCAGCGGGCACACACTCTGTGCTCACTGCACAGTGTGTGACTTATCTCTCTCAGACAACATTATTCATCCTAAAGGCTGATGAGGAAAAGTCATGTCATAATGACTAAAGGCTGACTCAAAATGACACAATCACACAGACCATGGAGAGAAAGAGTTTCATCATAAAACACTTACTCTTAACTCTGACAAATCCACATTGTCTTCATCGCAGTGGCCACATCCGTTTTCATAGTTCCAAGCATTGGGGACATAGTTGCCCAAGTAGTTCAAGTACATCTGTAAATAAACAAACACTAATAATGAATATTAAGTCAAATCTGTCAAAATCCTGACTGACCAGTTTTCACATGGCACTACATTTCACACTGGTGTGTTTTCATCTGGCTACAGTTTGTGTGGTGTGCTGTGTGGTCACAGGTGCTAAAACAACAGCACTGCACTCAGAGCAGAAATGTCCTGTCTCCTGACCCTGGGCTGTGTTGATACAGGCCTATGGACTGGAGTAACGTAATACCATGTGCAGGAAGAACCAGGTGTGCGCCCTGGCAGCAGGTCAGCCTCGGCTTTACTTTGTAGACACACTACTGTTCCCATGCTCTGTATATATTTACCTCCATGGAGATTTCTCTTATTACTGTTCAGGCCAACTCTGGGGAACAACTATAAGTTTCAAACGGGCACAGTACTGCTGGAAAATGTCTCAAAACACTAACGCATTATATTCAGTGATTTAGTATAATCAGGCATCAGAAAAAGCCGAGTGGTGGCAGAGTTGCTTTAAAAACACAGATGACCTTAAATGTCCTCCAAGCCTGCTCCTGAGCTTTACTGCAGACTAATCCTGGTGGTAAAATTATGGGCGTATTTTTGGCTAGACCCTCCCTTTAAATAATGACTTGGCCAGATTACTTGGCAACAGAACTTTGAAGCGCGTTACGTATTAAAAAAATATATATAGCTAACTTTTGGCTCAAACTGCTATTTTCTGTTCTCACTTAATCCATCATTACATGTAGGCATCTTAAAGGTCCAACATATATTAAAAGTGTCTGCTAAAATCTAACCAAATGTTCACTAATTCACCAGGGTGTTAAGTGTAAAGAATGTAACAGGCTGCACGGTGCATTTCACACTCACTTTGGTGTTCCCGTTGCCATGGACGACCACTGGGAGAGAGTCATAGGCTGTGTTCCGGACACGAACTCGGTCAGTGCCAAACTTCAGAAGCACCTCGTCTGCCAAAACAAGGTAAAAGAAGTTTTAAAGGAGATATTTGAACATTTGACAAGCCCATTGTTAGTTTCAGCCTTGAGAACAAATTGTAAAAGTTTTGTATGCTGGAAATACAATACAATTACACAAAGGCAGTTTAATGTAATTCCGGTGTTCATTGTTCTTCGAGAAAAAGGCCACGGAACACTTTTAAATGGTTTATTTGAAATCCTTAAATGAAATTACAACTTTGTGTCATGTTTTAAATGTTTCTCCATTACTCACCAACAGCGCCATTCAAGTTCTGGAAAATCTGGCACTTGTGATCCAAAGTCATGTTGAGATTCAGCTGCAGAAACAATGCAATTATTTAGACGGCTGTTTGAATAATACTTTTGTTATACTAATATTATAATAGCTATGCTCTCAACTAACACTAAACAGGGCTGAGAATCAAAGGGCCCCTCATGATTCAATACGATATTATCACTATATGGCGATACATGGAATAATCGATGTATTGCATTGTATTTTTAAAGGTGCATTGTGTAACTTTTCTGGTGGAGGGTCCATCAGTGGTACATATCAGTGTTATTGCTTTGTCTGGAATATTTCACAGTATGGTATTAAACCTTTCTATATGTATGGAGACCAATCCATGCCAAGTTACAGGTCAGATCTGTGGAGAGACGACCCTGCTCACTGTCAGAATGTATGTTTTTCAGGGTATTTTACCCACCTGTAATTTAATAAATATAAGTAGAGGTGTTTAATGTCATACTGTGGAACATTCCAGGCAGAGCAATGACATATCCCTAGAAACAAGCAGGTGATGGACCCCCAACTAAAAAGTTACATAATACACCTTTAAGAACCACATACATTTTAGCCACAATATTACTTTGTTAACCCACTACTTCTGCTAAATGAATATGAAATACACCAACTGGAATGTTAATAATCAAAACAGTGAATATGTTAAGTGTATTTCAAAACAAAAAAAATACTAAAAGATGCCAAAAAATACTGGAATATATCGATATAGCAGCCCATGATATATCGATAGTTCAATACATATGACATATCATCAATTCTACTCACATTACACCTTTGATGGAAACTTTTTGTCAAACAACTTTAGTTTCTCTGAGTGTTTAATTTATTTTTTTTCATTAGAATGACTGATGAGGATATCAGCTGAAAGAGAATATTCTTCTACTGAGAGATGTAAAAGTTTTAGGGGGCATTTTTGTACACTGATAGATACGCCTGTTATAATAATTACCATATTGACTTATCGTTCAATAAATAATAAATGGAACAATATATTTTCTTTTTCCTAACTGGAAAATGTTTGTGTTGTTTTTGTAGTACGATAACTGATTCTGAGGTTGTGACACTAACAGGATACACTGCTCTGTCTGTCTGAGGCTCTGTTAAACTTGAATCTGAGTTTTATTTTAACACAAGCTGGCTTAGTTGGAATTACAAAATGTAAGATGCTTTGTATTATTAAACAAGTCTTTCACACGTAAAATTACAGTCTAACTTGCATTATCCAAATAGTTTTTCATTTAGTCACTCTCTTTTTGTTGAAACTCAAACTCCTAAAGAGAACCATGAACGCTTGTATCAATCACAGACTAATGAAAATTACACTGTAATAGTTGTTCAAATCCATTTAAATATCATTATCCTGCATATTTGTTCCAAGTGATTTTAAATATAGTTTATTTAAAAAAGAGTTATTGTTTCATTGGCACGAAGCAGTTTCCATATTATTCTGATATTTTCCTGTTAGTTCAGATTGTGTTAACCCAGCAGACCTTTGTTCTGAACCTTACCCGCTGCAGTGGGTCCACATATATCTTTGAATAGAAGAGCTGGTCATCGTCGTTGTCATGGAGATCCCACTGTGACACGATTCTGTTCATGTATGGTGCATATCCAATTATACCTGCAAAGTAATAAGAGTGTCAAATACATTTCCAGCTGTAAAGTGTCTAGTAAACATTTACAGGGTTCTACTGGGCAGGCAGATTACATTAGGGCACTGGCTCCTGTTTAGAAGAGAAAAACGTGTGATTTTTGGCAATGCTCCCATATGCGCAAATCAAATCAAAGTCTGTACTTTTAAAGATAACCAGGAGAGGAGTTAAGGCCAGTAAAATGTTGTAATCTTGAGGTAGGGGGTGCAATATTTGAATTGAAGTTGCATTTTTGTGTAGACTCTGCTATCAAAAGCAAATGCTGAAATTCTTTAGATAGTTGAAAGTCATCTGCAAAGAATTAAGTATCCTGTCTTTTGAGTGTTGTGATGATACAAAGGAATAGGCTTGCTACTCAATACTGATTTCGATACCACGATAATAAAAAAAAAAAAAAAAAAAACACTCCTTATTCAGACAGTAGTCATTTTCAGCATTAAATAGTACTTTCTTTTATATTACCACATACTTTCTTTTATCTTATATCTCTGTAATCTCTCAGTTGTCCATGTTGGTTCCATACTGTCTACATACTAATCTATGTGTCTCATATTTGTTCTGATGCAGCTTAAGAACATTCTAAAGGTATTCAGAAAAGGTTCATTTTGGTCCTGTGAATGTGACTTTTTTCGTATTGATCCCTGCTCAAATGAGTTTCTAGTTTCAGTATCTGATTTTCGATATTTTCAACTTATTAGACCTCTACAAACACGTTCTGAAATGTATAGTATTTTTATATTCATTTATTAATTTATTTCGGTCTTCTATCAGATGTTTTTGCAATGTGGATCCAGAACAGAATCCTACTTTTTAAACCTACAGTATATCTCACATCTAATCTCAAACCTTATCCAAAGAAAATCACAATTACATTTCTTTCTACAATCTTGCAATCTTAATCTTCAGATCATCATGAAAGCAACCAAGCTTTTGTGATTTTCTCAGAAGTCCAGCGTGCGTTCTCATGGCACCGTCTACTCCTGTTTCCCCGCTTTTCCTCGTCCTCCCGACCACAGCCTCTGATTGCAGGCTATAGGACTGTGTTGCTTTGGATCCCAGAGTTTTCAAACGCGCCTCAGACACAGTAAACAAGTCAGAGGATAGACATGACATAATGCATTTGGCAGCAGCAGCCGATTGCCTAAAGAGCATCGTGACATCCAAGTTTTATCGACGGTAGCGTCCTACAAAATAAGGGCTTTTAAATCAACATGTCACAGTGTTGTTATGACGTGATCTAAGAGGGGGAAAAGTTGGCTGCTATTTGAAAGGCATCAAAAAAATACAATAAAAATCTGTCAAGCTATATGCAGGAGGGTAAATTATGATCCTGGAAACATAAACAACCACAAAGAATCAATTCCTAGTAGTAATTTAGTACTTTTTATGTGCTTTTAATAATGTAATATGAAGTAATTCACTTCCATTCTTTTCTTACTTAAAGCTCGGGGTGTAACAATCTAATCTCTCGATACAATATTTTCACAATATGCATCTCAGGGTACAATATGTATTGCAATTTTTTATGAAGGCAAAGACTAAATTGTGAATATGCAGCTTTTCTGTCAGATTTTTTATTTTATCATCTAGATTGGACTGAAATAGAGGATCATGGTATATGTAGTTCTCGTTGTTTTTCGCTGTTGTTGCACTATAACAATGAATTTAAGCGAAGACACTTGTGAGACTTTTGACAATATCATGTTATATTGGTTACTGTTACACCCCTACTTAAAGGTACAGTGTGTAACTTTTCTGATGTAGGTCTGCTGTTTGTCGTCATGTAGGTCTTATTGTTTTGCCTGGAATGTCCCACACTATGGCATTACAGTTTCATTGTATTTTGAGCATTAAAATGATGTGTAGATGAATAAATGCAATATATACACAATTAATGACATGCAGTGGAACATTTTTAGCCTGATTCATCAGCCGGTTTCACTTTGTAGAAACTGTCTGACCTCGACCTTAGATGGGTAGATGGTATTTTTTTATTTAATCAATCGCAGCTATTTGGTCATGACGTATCAGACCAAATCCCGTAGGAAGAAGGGTAAAATGTCTTTCCCCTTGATAAACATTGACACTGAACATTCTCTTTGTTCCAGCTTTAAATCCTCGATCTCAGGAATCAACACAGAATGTATGGCTCTTTGCTGATTGGCTGGTGCCCAAACTCACACTTCCGGGGTTTTGCGAACTGTCTGGTGTATTCTGATTCCTGACCTAGTCGCTGGAGAGAAATGAAATTGAGCAGAGGCACTAGGTGGCACCAGCCTGGCTAGAACATTTTAGGCAAAGGAATAAAATCCATGGAAACAAGGAGGTAGCAGAGCCTTCACATGAAAAGCTACAAAAATACTTCTATAGGTGAAGTACATATTTGAGTAAGTCCTCCTCTTCCACCTGTGGTAACACATTTTCACAGCTTGCCCTGTATTGCCCTTTCTCACCGGTGTAGCTCCAATAAACGAAATCCCAGTGGTCACTTGGGCGGTAGCCGTATAAACACAAACAAAACCTACAATTTTATACAAAACGTGGCCAAAGCAAATCCACATGTCAGGCTGAGGACAATGAGCACTATAACAGTCTCTAATCAGAATGGGAAAGCTCCGGTCCTCTATGGGAGGTCAGACCAGCTGATGACCACAGAGGAAAGCAGTAATTCGCTGTTCTTCACAGCAAGACTAAACAGCCCGCGTTACTTTGGAGTTTAGAATACTACAAGTCTCTCTTTTACAGTATGGCCTTTTTAATCTGAGCTCCTGTGCAGATTTCTCCATTGTCCAGGGAGATTACTGCAACACCAGTGGGAGCTAAGGAATGTTGAGATTACAGTGGGGGTGCATGCTTTTTGGGATCGTGTCCAAAAACAGCTCCCTTCTTCTGGACAGGAAATGGCCTCAACAGAGAGTTTACACATAGAGAATAAGAAGTATACAAAGTAGTAGTGTGAAGGAACAATGCTAGCCTGATTCATCAGCTGGTTTCACTTTGTAGAAACCATCTGACCTCGCAGCGTTAGAATTCATTCGCTCAATGGTAGGCGGGCACTTTTTTTCATTTAACCAATCGCTGCTATTTGGTCATGATGTATGTAATGCGCCGCTAATGGGGATAACTGGTATATTAAGCTTTTCCCAAATCCCGTAGGAAGAAGGGCAATAACGTCTTTCCCCTTGATAAAATTCACAGAACATTCCCTTTGTTCCGGATTTAAATCTTCGATCTCGGAAATTGTTGCCAACACTGAATATATGGCTCTTTGCTGATTGGCCTGTGCCTGAACTCGCACTTCTGGGTTTTTTTTTAACCGTCTAGTGTATTCTGATTTCTGGTCTAGTCGCTGGAGAGAAATGTCCCAGCCTGGCTAGGACAGTGCTGCTCTGCCTGAAGATTTTGAAGCTGTCCTCATATTCTTCTTAATAAGGGAAAAACTTTAACTGGTGAACTTAACCTCAGACATATGAAAAATAAATACTATCAGCCTTGGTGGTTTCCTATTTAGAATTTTTAGCTCCAGTCTGCAGCTGGACATTAGGATTGCTCTGTCACTACATGTGGTCAACCTCCGGCTTGCTGGAAAAGGTCTGGGACAACTCAGTCTGACAGCTTACAGAGGAATGCACTAACCCACAGCAGTTAACTAGGTCACACAAATACAATCACCTTAAGTTAAACACAGATAACTACCTCCTGATTAATACGAATCACCCACATTCCCAGAACAACACTTTAATCATAGGGTAGAAGCTTCAACACGAAGAGAGACTGGACTGTTTTTGGCAGTATGTCTGATTTACTAGTGGGTTAAGATCTTTCTAGTTTCAGAACCAGAATGTATGGATTTGAACATTTGGCTTGCCTCAGTACAAATATATTCTGTAAAAGCAGGTCAAAATAAGAGTGCTGTCAGATCATATTATTAAGCGTTTTGGTGAATTATTAAGAATAACTTTGGACCACTGCAAACTGTTTAAAATGCGCAATGTCATTTTTTGAATAGTTGTCTTTTTTCTTTCTTACTTGCAACAAATACTAGAAAGATATTTGCATTATTGAATCATACCTCCAGAGTTCAAGTAGCGTTTTCCACTGCGTACTGAGGGATACTTGTCTGCCAGTCTTTTGTCGGGCCAGACCAAGGCCTCGGCAGCAAAAATGACTTTGTGGTTCGCCTGCTGAAACTTCTTGAGTATTTCTTCTGGTCCCCCGGCGAAGATAAGATCATAGCTGGAAGGCAAAAGAGAAAACATACATGCTGTTAACCTTTTTACTTAAGGTTAACCTGACAATGATGACATAGGAGCTGTCTTAACATGCGGGAGATGGATGAAGTAAAAGTAAACTGCGTACATTCTTTAACGGAGAGGCCTCAGCAAACACCACAGCGTATAGAAAAGCTATAGGAGTCCCGTCCCGACAGACTCTAGGTATTGCAGTAATTGAAGTTAGCATGTGTTTTTTCCTTGAGATATTTTAGAATGTGAAAACTATGTCTGAGGTTAAGGAAGTAAAAAAAAAGTTTATTCTACTTCCATTCAGAAAGTCATGGCTGGGTTTTTGGCATGCTTACTACAACTTGGAAGAATATCCAAACAATTCTTTGTCTGATCTATAATTTGTATGATTAAAAGAAATTGCATGCAGTTATTTTTTACAGTTTACTTTTTGTTAAACTTATTAGAAGCAAATTCCACACAAGCGGCGTACTCTAAACAGGGCTTGCTATCTGGATTTTTTGTTTTATCTGATACTTTTGTAGATAATTTCATCAACATCCCCTGGGGGTGTGATGCAAACTGGAAGCACTACTCTGTCTGACTTACTCTAAGCTTTATTTTAACACAATCTGACGCTACGTTTATATGATGATGGTTTGAACAGAAGGTGCAAAAGTGGAGTCGCGTCTTCACTTTTTATTTAGACGAGCATTTTCGGGAGGAAATCTGTGTGCATATGGTGACGCAAAAGTGTGTGGAATTCGATTGGGTATGCGTGCCATCCGATATGTTTGTTTTTGTGTACTGTATGTTTGTGACGTAAAGCGTAGGCGACATGAGAAGATCTGACCAGACTTTTGCGTCTTTTGCGCCTCGTAGATGGAAACGCGCATTCAACTTTTCCACTCTGGAGGGTGGTCTCAGATTTTTGCGTTTTTAAGCCCCAAAAACGCCGTCACCGTCTAAACAAAAGGCACATCCGATAACATTTTTTGTCGCTTTTACCCGCAAACACAGACGTGTAAACAGGCCCTGTCCAGAAAGAGCTGAACTTTGTTGGAACTACAACAGGCGAGTCATAAGATAGCTCTCATCTTTTGGTTGAAAATCAAACGCAAAACAGGACGGTGAATGCCCATATTGATCAGACTCCTGAAACCAATTTGTCTTTTTTCTTGACTTTGCAGACAATCTAAAACAAAAACTGACAGTGTTTGCTAATGTGTCCATGGTAACTCCTAAACATTCCACGTAAAAAGATACATGCAGGAGATAGGATGATAGTTGGAAGCGTGATGTCACTGTAAAATATCAATACTCAGTTTGCTCCTCCAAAGTTTTAACTCTGCTCCAAACCGCATGACTTTTCTTCCTTAGTATTGGCAGTAGACCTGTCAGTTGAAAAACACCAAGCCAGTAATTGCTACCTTCAAAGCTTTAGCCCACAATTTTATTAAAATGTGATTAAAATGTGATTAATTGGCCAACTTTACCAATATAAAACAAATCTCCAAGACAACGGAGAAAGAACAGGATTTCTGGTTGCACAGTTCATGTCGGTAAGTCTATAAATTCCTGGACATAGTGATTTACCGATATGGAAAACTGTGGCCCCTGAAAAGCACAAGGGAATGTAGTTTGGCTGATTAGGTCTTCCAATGTACACTGTACCCTATCCACACATGCTCCACACATGTTCATACAGGCTACCTTTGTCGCCTCCGATCTCATCCATCACTGTCACTATGGCAACTCAAGAAACTGGCCTGGCCTCAGAGTAAACATACATTATTTGAGAAAGATCACAATCAGAGGTTATCGTCACTCCCATTCTGGCTATAAATGCTCAATTGAAATAACATTGTTTTGATCTGACAATAAACAGACTGTCTATATTTAAAGAAGCAAAACAAACTCCATCTGTAATTCAGCGCAATTTAATATAACTACCATTTGGTGCAGTGCAGGAAGTAACGCCTTTAATACACTATATTTTTACTTTACTGAAATGACAAAATGATATCAAATTTTCGATTCAACTTACTGTGACGAAATAACTTCCTTCAAAATAAGAGTACACATGAGTGACTGAAAGGTGTGGACTTTTTATAGGGCAATTGAAGCGGGGATTATTGGAGTCGCAGAGTTCACTAAGTGGAGTAGTTTCATCCTATGGTCTATTTGAGGAAATCTAGCTCGCAGCGCTGTCTTTATTCCTAAACCGCCAACTCTGCCTTGTAATTGTGCTACCTGCTTTTCAAGAATGTGTGCGTGGCTTCGTGGCTCACTTCAAGAAGACATAACATTCAAAGCGGCTATTATGACAATTAGTTTTACTTCTAATTCTTTCATCCACACGGCAGTTAAATGTGGTTTGCATTGCTTTGGTGTGAACTGTTCTCGTTTTGATCACGCATCGGCATCATCAAAGTGACATGTTTTATGAGAGCAAAATGGAATACTGAAAACCTCCACATGAAAGCACAAACACAGCTGTTAAATCTGCACTTTGTGACTTTTCTAGTGAAGGGTTAGCTACCTGCTTGTCTCCATGAAGATATTATTACTCTAGTAAAATACTTACACTTTGTCATTATATGGTAATGTGTGAGCTACTGCACTGTAATTTCCCTTGTTGGAAAACAGTGGTGCCCAATGGTAGCAGATGTTACAACATACGTCATCACAAGAAAAAGTCTCCAACTCCTATGGATATCTGCATATCACAATAGCAAGTAGCAAAAAAAAAAGAAAATTACTTAACGTCAATATGGCGTCTTGAAAAAAAGTGATTAAAGGTTGCTCAAACATACACAAATCACTCCAAATACAACTTCTAGAAGGTTAAAAGCTCTGAATTGTGCATAGGTCTGCTTTAAACATATACATGTCTTCCATTACAGATGTTATTATTGCTCAAATAAACTTTAAAATCGTGAATTCTTATGGTGGGTGTGCTCACCTTGTCACAGATCCGACCTGTAACTTTCCCTAGCTACTTTTCTCCATGGAGATATGTTAAATGTCATACTGTGGAACATTCCAGACAAAGCAACATCTGCATGGAGACAATCAAGTGGCAGATCCTACTAGAAAAGTTACACAGTAGTGGGCGTGGTACATTGGGGTTTGCCGTCCCCCCACTTCTCCTGATGTAAGATATAAAAAGAATAACTAAATAAAATAGCCTACAACTTAAATGTCAAACCGGAGTTATTACCTGGTCCCCAAAGGGTTGACCAGGTTTTGTATTCACCCCGTGTATCTCTGTGTGTATCTGTCCACCCGCAATAATTCCGCCATTTATGGACCAATTGTCACCAAATTTGGTATGTGGGTCAAGGCCCCATGCCCAATGCCGCAAAAAAAGTTTAGTGACGATCCAAGGTCATTTGAGGTCAAACGGGTCAATTGAAAAGTCACGAAATTATAAAGGATAGGCAATTTCATCAATTTCTGAACCATCGGCTAAAATATTCACCCAATCATCACACAAGTTGGCACACACATAACCGGGTTATGGGCTGGGCTCTTCATAAGCTGGCTTCCGTGGTGATGAACTGCCCCCACCAATGCCTCATGGGGGACCGGGTTGATATCTCTGAATGCGCATGTTGGCAATGGTGAAAACAACGTGCATATATAGGCTTGATAATATCTCCAGTAATGTCCTGTAGTGCACGCGCACGCAAAACCCACAAATACCCACCTTCATGATCGTCATCAACCATTTTATTTTAAAAATAAAATAAAATAGAACGACGAAGGTGTAAATTACCATGTGTTGTGCATTTAGATTTTGCTTTGGTTTTAGTCCTCCACTAAAATGGCAACTTCAACAGAATTTGAGATGTTGATGATGTCACGAATTGCGTATCCCCACTTAAAAAATCCCCTCTACACCACTGATAGCTTTAAATTCTAGCTTTGTATTTAACTGGTTTAAGGATATTAAGAGTCTGGTTTTGTAGGTGCTACTTAAAGATGTATTTACCTGTCCACTGTTAGAACAATGAGGTCCTCCTGGTCGGCCACCTCCTCCAGGGCTTGCTTCAGTAGTCTGACCTTCTGACCTCCACCAATGGACCGGCCTACGTCTCCTCCTTTCCACGGCTCTCCCATCCCCAGCACCTGAGATACAAGTCCACTATAGTTACAAACAATTCAAGAATCCATACAGGTATACCTAACTGTGTGCAATTTCTGAATAATGTACACTAAGTAGAGACATATTGTTCTTTTATCAGTGCATATTTGGTGACTGAGCTTACAGGAACAGTTTGTCTAACCGTAGATAAGGCATGAAACTATCCTGTGTGATCGTGATCCAGTGCTCTTTATACTGTGTGCACATTTCTTGGACTTATCCCTCTTTAAGTGTCCAAGGCTCTAGTTTATTTTATCTGAGCCCATCGTACCTTGACGTTGTAGTTAAAATACTTTGCTGACTGCATAAAGCGTTGGAAGCCATCTGTCTCCTCTGTGGCCACTGTTAGGACGAGCAGCTTTTCTGAAAAATAGAAGAGAAAAGACCTCGTGAAGTCAACACATGTTTTCGGTGGCTAATTTGAAGGAATACAAATCGCGATAATTCCCTGGATGTTCTTCGAAAACCCAATGCATCATCTCTTTATATAGCTGGCTGGGAGTTCTAACATGTGTCAGCATACCAGCAAATCCACCAAAGTTTTAATATAATTCAAATAGAGACGCATATTTTTATCCGAGGATGAGACATATTTTCTTTCCCTTTTGGAGGAAGTGAGCTCCCACATAATTTCAGGACGTTTCCAGTGGCTCTCGGTGCTGGAGTCTGAGGTTAGAAAAGGGTTAGACCAAATATAAATTAACACTGTAACCTCCAGAAGAGTTTAAGAGCCTGCTGCAGCCCCCTGGCCACTTTCCTCTTTTCTATTATTTTTGACAAACCACCTCAACCATGTCCAATGTATTTTAGTATAGAGCGCAGTACTTCCATTCTGTAGCTATGCGTTTCGGCAGCTTTCTATATATGTAATACCCCGATCCTTTAATATAGTTTTATGGGGCCACTTGAATATGCTGTTTCCTGGGAGCAATCTGCTTTCTATTTAATAATCCGGCCTCTGATCCACCGAAGCCTAGTAAAATATTTATTGGACATTTGAAAATATATAAAAAAAACACAACTTAATATGAATTGAATGCTGCACTGTAAGGCCTTGGCCCGGATCGGGATGACTCCGCACAGCCGGAGTTGTCATGGTTTCAAATGTAAGTCAAAACTTCTGCCATTATTTTTAACAAAGCGCCGTTCTCAGCCCCCTATGGAGAAAAGTAAACATGTACGCGACAGACTACCACATTTCAAATACCCACATAAATCTTTTACTGGGCGTGAAATGAATTGAATGCTGTGCCATATGCAGTGGGAAAGTACCGCACTAGAGAAAATACTGCGAACGTTACAGACTTTATTTAAGGAGTTGAATGGAAATAGAAAATAGCTCTCTCCATTTTAACAAGCTAAGAGCATAGAGTGACATCAGCGTGGGCTTTCCCAAATATTATGTATTGTGTCATTATAAGTCATCAGAAGTACAGTAATTTTACACTATTGATTTTGGTACTACACTCCCAGCTATAATTCAGCAACTCAACAGTAAGGCCAACAGAGCAACACCTTAGCAACCAGTTAGTTCCATAATCCATTAGTTTTTACACACGACATATCAGAATTGGAAACCCTTGTGAATCAATATTTTACTTGGATTCCATTAGTTAATACAGTATTTACTAGGGCTGCTCAATTCTGGAAAAAAACATTATCATGATCATTTTGGTCAATATGGAAATCACGATTATTCAAACGATTGTTTTTTGGTTACACAATGTATTTATTCAGGATTTCTCTCTCTTACTTTGTTACTGATAATTTACACAAAACTTTCAAATTGAAAATAAATTCAGGCTACAAATATGTACTTTAGATCAGTTTAGCAATGTATGAAACATAAAATTTATTAAATAAGTCATACAAAAATATAAACGTATCCAAAATAAACTATATATCCAGCAGTTCTGCAATCTCTATATTTAAAAATAAAATATACTTGTTATATAAAAATATCCCAAAATAAACTTTAGCTTTATTATTTCAACTCGATTATATGAGTTTGGAGATTATTTGACACACAAATTAAAATCACAAACAAAATTCGATTAATTGCACAGTCTTAGTATTTACTCCTCAGTACAGTGTATAGCAGGAAAGTAACAATAACTGAAATATCGTGATATTGTATCGTCAAAGTTCTCACAATAATATCGTGGACCATCACAATATATCGTATTACAAGTCTCTTTGCTTAACTTAAGAGTTATGGTGAAGCAATAGAAAAAAAGACAGAGAACTACATAGACCATGATCCTTTGCTCCATTTCAGTGTAGCCTACATGAAGAAACAGTTCTAAGCACTTTTAAGTCTTAGTTCTTTGGATTAAGTCTTGTCAAGGCATTTTAAGAGGAAAATGTCACATATTAACAGTTTTGTAGGATGCCACAAAATATCGCAATAAATATCATACGTTAGACAATAGAATGTAATTTTTACACAAAATAGTTGTAGTTTCATTAATATTACCATTTGGTTATGTACGAGTTATGTATGAAAAATTTACGAAAAGTTTATTCATGTGATTTTTTTTTCCCCCCAGTATCAGTGTGTGCTCAAAAAGTATTAATACAAGTTTCAGTAATGGTTTAGAATCTAATTTGGAGATGTTTACGATCCCATCTCTGTACCTGCTACTTCATAATTACCACTGAACCAGCTTAATGGATAAATAAAATGAGCACTTCACACTTCAGCTTTTACTTTCTGTTAACATCAGCCCCACAAAACAACTCCTATTCCCTGTATTTCCTGGTGACGGGGCAGTTTTGTAATCCTGCTCCAGACTGTCGCTGTTTCTGTCGCTGTTTCAATCGCTTATTCAGCCTTTGACACAGGCCCTTCCACACACTCGCAGGTTGGACACAGTGGTCACGTCTGTCTCTGTGCTCACACACTTAAGTGCAGCTCTGGGACAGCCTATTCTGAGCACAGGTGTTCCTTGTGCTGTTCTTTGGCTGAAAGCTCCAGCGGGGAGAGGAGGGTGTGGGGGACATCTGGAAAACACATTTAGTCGTGTACAACAAATGATTTTATAGCAACAGACAAAAATTTACATGCTTCCGAGGTCGCTACAACTTAGGGGAAAGGGCAAAGGTCAAGTCTGGGTCAAATGAGTCCACATGCTGTAGGTAAAGACATGAAAAGAAACACAAACTGCTACTGTGTCATCCTCCTTGTACTTCTGTTATAGTAGTATTTAGTAGTAGTAATAGTAGTAGTATTTAGTAGTAGTAGGAGTAGTAGTAGTATTTATTAGTAGGAGTAGTAGTAGCAGTAGTAGGTGTAGTAGTATAATAGTAGTAGTGGTAGTAGTAATGTAGTAGTAGGTGTAGTAGTAGTAATAGTAGGTGTAGTAGTAGTGGTAGGAGTGGTAATAATGTAGTATGTGTAGTAGTGGTATTTAGTAGTAGGGGTGGTAGGTGTAGTAGTAGTAGTAGGTGTAGTAGTATAATAGTAGTAGTGGTAGTAGTGGTATTAGTAGTGGAAGCAGTAGTAGTAGTGGTAGTAGTAGTAGTAGTAGTAGTAGTAGTAGTAGTAGTAGTGGTAGTAGTAGAAGTAGTAATAGTAATAATATAGTAGTATGTGTAGTAGCTGTAGTAGTATGTGTGGTAGGGGCAGTAGTAGCAGGTGTAATAGAAGGTGTAGGTGTAGTAGTAGGTGTAGGTGTAGTCGTAGTAGTTGTAGCAGCAGTAGTAGTAATAGTAGTTGTAGCAGTAGTGGTAGTGGTAAGTCAATTTTGTTACTTAAGTAAAAGTACAGATACCGGAGCACAAAAAAAAAAAAAAAGGTAAAGTATCAAAATTTAATATTTTTTTCTATCTGTTTTTACAAATGTGTTAAAAATCACACACAATAAAAAGTACTTTTACTTTTCAGTCCTATTCAAAAATGTAGTGCAGCAGAAAAAAATACCTACTCTCAAATCTTGTGAAGTAAGTAAAAGTATACACATTAAATACCCCTTTTTTTTGTTTAGTTTTTTTACCCAAGTACAGTACTTTAAGACTTGTAATTGGTAATACTCAACTACTGATTGCCAACACCCATTAGTGGTCGGGAGTATGGATCTCGGAATCTGTATTTTCTGGTAAGTAGTTCATTTAAACTAGCATTGTCACGAAACCAAAATTTCAAAGTTGATTTGAAATTTACTAGTTTTGATGGGACAAAATTTAGAATTCCAGTAATCTCTCTTTGATTGTTTTCAGTATTGATACAGGCTTGGAATGGATATTTTGGAATGGCTTTATTTTGACAGCTCAAACTGACACAGTGATATACTTGGACAACTTTCATGTGTTGATACAACTGTACTCACTTGTGCTCTGAATACATTTCTGTAATTGACAACAGACACTGACCTCATTTGTAATCTGGTCAGTCAAAGTTTACCACAGTTTGTTTTTTTATGGTTTTCGTTTTATAATGAATGTTTTGTCTGTGTAAAAATAGTTTAGGAACAGTAGCCCTTCTTGTTGTTTGTGTCACTGTTTCTGCTGCAGACTTTGTTTTCATGAACCACATTCCCCAAAAGCCCAGTATTGTCTATGAAATCACTAAAGCATTTCCTGCCTGAGAGAAATTGATAGGTTACCCACAGTTTCCCCTCTGCGCCTGTGCTCTGACCTCATCCACCCATACACACTTTTTTTTATTTCTATTTGTTTCTTTTAATTTGTGTGTAGTGACAGTGAGGGCATCTGAACATCGCAGAATCCCACAGAGCCCGGGGATCCAGACAAACAGCCCTGGGAGCAGACAGACACTTTTACACACGGTGGCATGGTTCAGACATGAGAAGGTGCTCTACGGCCTCATATGACCTCAGGCTGAACATTAAAGCGTGTCTAAGAGCGTGTCTAAGAATTATGATGTGCCAGACCAAGCTCACCAAATGTCTATTTTTAAACTTCACCAACAGGGAGGGAGGGTTCATACAGTTCACATGACAGACATCTGATTTATACCTTATCTATCTATGTAAGGTGTCATTAAAATTACTGGATAAAATAGCACTCATAAGGCAGAGTTAACCCTAGCCAATAATTAGCATTCTTTTATGTATATATATATATATATATATATATATATATATATATATATATATATATATATATATAATATATATATATATATATATATATATATATATATGGGTGGGGGTAGGCCTATAGTCACTCTGTTTATCCAGACTTGGGACTGCTAATACAACAAATACAACACTGGCTTGTGCAGCAGGGTTGATTTGATTACCGTATTTTTCGTACTATAAGTCACACTTTTTTTCATAGTTTGGTGGTCCTGTGACTTATACTCTGGTGAGACTTGTATATTAAAAATTTCAGACTGACAG